GGGTGTGTCTCTGTTCTTTGCAGAGGGGTTAAAGGTGTGTGCTAAGGCGGAGCCACACTACAACTAGAAATAGGTTTTCTCAGTAAATAACACATCTTGGGGTTCCCAGTGTGATCAAATATCCTGCAACAGGAGCCTCTTCATCTTCCAGCTCTCACGTGTTAGGACCACAGGCATGAACCACATTCCAGGCCTGAAGCAGGAATCTGAACCTAGGCCCCATGCTGTACCAACTGTCATGCTATCTAGGAATTTTTAAGATAGTGTGTGTAGTGGTGTCTGTATGTGTGTACATAACCTGTTCGTGTAGGTGCTGACAGTAGGACATGCATGTGTTTGGTTCTGGCGACCAAACTCGAGTTGCCAGGCATCTGGAGCTAGAAGTGCCATCCATGCCACCCAGCAAGCCATCTCTTCAGCCGTAGGTAGGGATTCTCACTCACTTGCTAGATCCTGGGAGCAGGGCTGGGCCCCCATTTTGGTTTCTCAGCACCTGACACTGTATGTGCTGGGGTTTTGATGAGTGGATGAATGGGCAGACAGACAGACACACAGATGGATGAGAGAGCATATAAAAGCCACAAATCCAGTTGGTTGCCTCCCAGGATGTCCCCAGTGTCCCAGAGTCATCTAGAAAGTAGCTGAGCATTTCCTAATAGGAAGAGCTAGCCCAGTGCAAGCTGACTGCTGTCTTCTCTCCGCCCTACCGTGCCTGTGCAGATGTTTGCTGAGGAGGAGGCAGCGCTGACCCAGGATTCATCCCCAGAGAAGCTGCAGCAGTACCGCCAGGTGCACCTCCTGCCAGGCCTTCGGGAACAGGGCTGGTGTGAGATCACCGCCCAGCTCCTGGCACTTCCAGAACATGATGCTCGGGAGAAGGTGCTGCAGACGCTGGGCGCCCTCCTGACCACCTGCCGGGATCGCTACCGGCAGGACCTCCAGCTGAGCAGGACACTAAGCAGTCTCCAAGCAGAGTACCAAGCCCTGGCCTCCCTGGAACTCCAAGAAGGCGAAGATGATGGCTACTTCTGGGAGCTGCTGGCCTCCATCGACAGCTTGATGAAGGAACTAAGATGAGGCCGCCATGCTGAGACCAGGGCTAGACTGACACTGCTCCTGAGAGACCAGTGGCTCCTCAGGGACGTCAACCACGAGGCGGACTTCCCTACTGGGCATGAGCTTTATCTGGGCAGAGCTGGCTAGGTCATTAAACAGAGACGTGAAGACTGTGGTCTGTCTCTTGTGTCTGTCAGATCAGGCTGAGCCCTGTGACTGGGCACCATGCCTGGGGAGCCTGAGGGTAGTTCACTGAGCCACTGTGATGGGCCTCTAGTGACATGCTGGTCAAGAAAGGCCTGGTCTAAGAGTTGGCAATCTCTGGCTATTTCACTTTGAAAGCCAATTAACCTCTCAGATAAACAGGTTACTATTAGTAAAGCATGGGCTGCATGTAAAGCACTGTATGGTGCTGGGCACCCAGCTCCCCTGCCCCGTCCCCTGCCCACCTCGAGCTATGAGGGTCATCTCATTGAACATCTACTGGGCCAAAGGCCACTGGCACTGGCCAAGCCTGCGAGCGTCTCCATGTGGAACTGCTCGATCCACCAAGCAGCAAGTAGGCCCTTGTTGCTGCAGCCCACACGGGAGTGGGGGAAACACAGGGTAGTCCATACATGCGTATTGATTTCGGAGAGAAGTCACCTTGTTTCAGCTAACAGTGGATGCCCAGACCAGGCAGACCTGCTGGATACTAAACAGGGCAGAGATGCCCCGCCTTGTGCTCTTGCCCCCTCCAGTGTCCAGGGTTAGCCCAAAGAAGGGCAGACCCAGCCTGGCAAGTCTGGACCCCCACCCCAGCGACACCGAGTGCCAGGCTGGGAGCCTGCTGCAAGTTGCCATGGCAACCCCAGCTCTGGGCTTTCCTGATTTGGATTCTGGTGAGTTTGTTTTTCAGTCTTTCCCAGTGCACCAAAGGCTGGCTCCTGCTGGCTCCTCACAGCCCTCCCAGCCCCAGGAAGGCAGTTGGGAAGGTCACTGTTGAACAGCCTGGGTTTTAGAAATCTCAGCTTCACAGACCCAGAGAAACAAAGGGTAAGTGGGTGGTAGCATTTCTTGCAAATCCTTTCTTGAGTCTTCCTCTCCATAGTCCTCTGCCCGCAGCAGCCATAAAGAAGCAATGAGCTGTGGTCATGTGGCAACAGCTGATGGAAGCTTTGGGAAGGCTGTTTCCATTATGGGAATCAGAATTCAGGCTGCTAACCATTGGGCACCACTGCCTTTTAGCCTTAAAGCCCTATGGCAGTGGTGGTGCATTTTTCAGAGGAATGAGGGATGGATTCCTCAGCCTGTGTGCTGCCTGAGCTGACACACTGCAACCATACTATGGAAGGCACACATGTGGTCACAGGAAACAGGCACAGGAGAAACGACTCTGCTGCCTTAGCCACAAGTGGGTGTGGTCCAGGAGGGCTATGCTGGAGCCTGGCCATGGCCAAGTCAAGCGACACTTCAGAGACGTGGCTAGCAGTGTCTGTGGGCGGATCTTAGGAAGGAGGAAGCTGGAACAGGGCTGGCCAGAATGGGGAGCTGCGCAGAGGCCCAGCCAGGCCTCCCCAGTAGCATAGACACTGATCCCCGGGGAACCCTACAAGCTCTGGGGTTGGACTGGGACTCGGAAAGGATTGCCATGAGTGCCACCACTAGAGTCTTTAGTCTTAAAGGCGTGTGCCACTATACCCAGCTGATTTTTGACAAAGGCGCAAACATGCAGGAAAGACTGTCTTTTCACTAAATGGTGCTGTAGCAGTTGGACTTCTGTAGACCCCTGTGTCTCACGTCTAACACAAAATTCACCTTGAGATCAATCTCAGACCTAAATCTGAATCTTTTGTAAGAAAATAGGAGGGAAATCTTTGTGATCTAGAGTCAGGCAAAGAGTTCTTAGATAAGACACTGGACTTACCAGCCAGAAATTTAAAAACCTCACAAATTGGACTCAAAAACTTCTGCTAAGAAATTAAGAAAATAAAAAGCTACAAGCAAAAAAAAAAAAATCCTTTGTAAATCTCATATTTGACAAAGGGTTTGAATTCATAATATTTAAGAAATTCTCAGTCGGGCAGTGGTGGCGCACCTTTAATCCCAGCACTTGGGAGGCAGAGGCAGGCAGATTTCTGAGTTCGAGGCCAGCCTGGTCTACAGAGTGAGTTCCAGGACAGCCAGGGCTACACAGAGAAACCCTGTCTCGAAAAACAAAAACAAACAAAAAAAGAAATACTCAAAGCCCATCTGTAGAGTCAACCCAATAAAAGACAAGATTTGGAACAGCATTTCACCAAAGACATAGAGATGGCTGAGGAGCACGCAGGCATGCTCAGCATCCTAGTTGTTAGAGAAATGCATATAAAACCACACTCTGCCACACACCTATACCCAAACACAGCCTGAGGATGCCATGTGCCAGAGACAAAGCAACTGAATGTCGCTGCTGGTGGTGAAATGCACAATGGCAAGGCTGGTCAAGAACAGTTTCTCTTACAGTGGTTCATTACTTCTTATAGAACACAGCCTTCTTCCTAGCTGTTTATTTGAGATAAGCAAAAATCTGTTTACACAAAAGTCTGTATTCAGATGCTTCTATAAAAATGTGTGTTTTAAAAAACAAAACTAGAGGGCTACAGAGATGGCTCAGTGATTAATAGCACTGACTGCTTTTCCAGAGGTCCTGAGTTCAGTTCCTAGTAACCATATGTTGGCTCAACCATCTGTAATGGGATCTGATGCTCTCTTCTGATGTGTCTGAAGACAATGACAGTGTACTCAAACCTTAAAACAACAACAAAACAAAAACCTAGAAACAGTTCCAGTGTCCCACCTGGGAGGAATGAGGAACTGTGCACCCTCTAATGGAATTCTACTCACTACTGAAAACAGCAAGGATGCCCGTGAGGATACATGCTTCCCAAAGGCCCTGTGGTCCCTGACGTACTATGCAAATATAACTGATGCAAAGGCTAACAGACAAGGATTTTCATTTCTATAGAGGAAACACTAGAGGGAAAGGGTGTGTTTAAACTATCTTGGGATACCACAAGGAAGTGTATAACTTTCCCATGTCATCAGAAAGAGTATGTCTTAATATATGTAAATTCCAACCTAATTTATATTTTAGTTTCTATTTTAAAATCTTATTTTATGTATGTGAATGTTTTACCTGCATGTATGTCTGTGAATAATGTGTGTGCCTGGTGCCTGCTGAGGTAAAAAACAAAAAACAAAAAAAAACAAAAAATGGGTGTTGGATCCTAAAACTAGGTTATATATGTCTGTGAACCACCAAGTGGGTACTGGGATTGAACCCAAACAAGGGCTCATAACCACTGAGTCATTTCTCCAGCCCCAACCTAAATTTTTAAAAAGAAAAGAAAAAGGAAGACCCTCAGCCCATGCTGTCCTCTGGAAGCTGTTCACATCCATTGTCTCTGGATGACAGACAACGTGAAGATCCTACGCTGTTCTTCCCAGCTCTGGTTCAGGACTGCAGTCAGCGTGGGACAGTCATTGAAGACTCCAGATACGGTGGCTCATTCAAATTCAAGGTCTGCCTGGTTTACATAGTGACTGCCAGGCCATCTTGGGCCACAGAGACAGAGAGCATCTCAAAATGTTATAAAGTAGGTCAGAAAATGTTAATGTCATTAAAAGTATGTGTGAGCACCGCAGTGACAGGAACCACCAAAGCACAGAACTGGAGGGACCATTCTATAGTGTTTGACATGGTCAGATCCAGCAATGCCGACCAACAGGTCGGGTTCTAACTATCTCCCTAAGGTGAGCAAAAATGTCAGAAAACATTGATGTCATCTGTTGGTCCTGTGGGACAAGAAGGCAGTGGAAGCTAGAAAAGGCTCCTGTGAGTCCCCTCAGGGGCAGTGACAGAGGGTAAAGGATGCGGAGTAGAGAGGTGTGGCCTCTCCCAGTCCCACTCTGGAAGGCCTGTCGCTGAACATTTCAGCAGCAAGCACTGTTTGGGTGTCACAGGCCTGGAGGCTGCCATGTTGGGACAGATAGGAAGAACAGAACCCAGAGCTGAGCCCTGCACCATGGCAACACCACAGGTATCGAGAATAATCTGAGAAAGTAGGAATCTGAAGTATGTGAGACCACAGAAGTCTAGAGAAGGCATGCTGTACATCTAAAGCTCATGGGATGATTGGAACCTGGGGGATGCTGGAGTCGCTTAGTGCCAGGTGAGTTGGATGACAGGCTTTGTCTCTCTGTGTCTTCTTCCACAGCCTGAGGACTCAGGGATAAAAGATCACTGCAGAAATATGAGGTGACATGCTAAGGGCTAGATGAGGACCCTGGTGGTGGTCATAGCAGCTCCTTCCTTCAGGAGAGGTGGCCCTGACCCATGTGGAAGGTTTATTTTGCCCTGGAAGTTCTGAGCAGTGGGTGCTGCAGAGCTTAAGTTGGAGACCAAAACACAAAACGAAGGAGGGTGATTAGGAAGGCCAGAGGCAGCCTGTGGAATGCACAGACCCTGTCAATAAGAGGACCTGGGTGTCCTGCAGTCACTGTGTGTGGTAGTCTAGGGGAGCAGGCCATAACAGAAAAGTAGCATGACAGGCTAGGAAGGTGACACACTATAGGGACTTCTGTCCTTTGCTCACCAGGTTGAGAGTAGTAGTCTTTCCTGATCCAGCTCAGGAGTAAGACAATACAGGGGGGTGCGGCATCCTGATGTTAAGGGGTAGGGACTGGCACCTCCTTGGGATCTTCACAAAGTACCCCACACAGTGAGTCTCATCTTGCATGCTCTGTGTGGAATCACGAGATCCATAGGACACACAGTGCTTCAAGATTTTCATCTGGGTTTCTACAGTTGCTAGCTTTTTACGATAACCTCCAATATTTTCATAGAGGACACAGCCAAGACTATTCCTAGGACAGGAAGTGACAGGCATGGGAAAGATGGGCTCCTAGACAGCAGTGTGTGGATGCAGATGGGATGCCCCGGTCTCAGACACAAGGCTGCAAGTGCACAGGCCGATAAAGGGCTTGATCTATGTGCTCCAGGCTGTTTAGCTCTGGCAGGGATGCAGGTGGCCAGGCCTTGGCCTCTGCTGGGGCAGTGTCAGAGCTGGGAAGCCCACTGAGGATGTGACTGGGGACTGACCTACTGGTACAGGTGGACGTGTGGAGCCTGAACTTGGGAATGTTTGATGATGA